ATATATATAATTTGTTATGTCCTAATTTGTTATATATATATCAGAGCACTGTATAAAATAAAAATAAATTTTCAGTAGAAACAATAAAACAAACAACAGAAAAGCCACCTATCATGACATAAAACAATAAAAACAGTAAATACAGCCATTAAGATAAGTGAATTAAAATGCAATCTAAAAGGCATTCTGATCCTGGAACAGTTGTTAGCCTGAGAATTCCAGGGTGAACAAGCATGTCTTCAGCCTTCATTTTAGATTAGAAGGTATGAGGTCAGCCATATTTCCCTTTAGTAACAAGTTCCAGAATTAGTCTGCTACCACTGAGAAAAGCTCTATTCTTGGCTACCACTCTGGCCCACTCAAGAGAAACTGTGGTCTCCCAAGAAAGATGATCCTAGCCTCTCCCAGTATCAGTGCTAACACTGGCCAAGATTATAAGAATCTGCAGAGGTTTTCTTTTCCATACTAAACAAATGATTACATAGTTTCTTTGCCTGAGAATGTTTATTTTAATCTATCTTTCTGATCTGAAAATAACCTGAAATAGTTTCTTTCTGTGACACAATCCCCTAAAATAATCAGTAATATTAAGCAGAGACTCATGTAAATATTCCTAAAATAATCTGTAAATTTGGTTCCTCCACTCCTTTGTTCAATCTATTTCTTTACAATAATGGTATCAACATGTATATCAAAACAATGGAAAGATTTTTTCAAAAGAGAAAAGGTAAGCATCCCCAGATGAAATGGTGGTAACAATGACTGCATTTTTCCTTATATCAGCCAAACAGAAACCTACAGAATAGTATTCTAACTGAAACTATTCTTTGGCACAGGGATAACAATAAAGCACTTTACACATTTTTTCAGTATTACTTGTTGCATAAAATGCAAGACTCATTTCTACAGTATGACTGGAACAAATGTCTACTATGGAGTGGTTCAACTGGAATGTGCCCAAATTAAATAAACTCCTGATTTCTTTGGTACTAGTTTTTGATGTTCTAGGTCATAATGAATCTAAAAAATGATTATAGATAGTACTTGCTGAGAATATTCATACATGTAATAGTACAACTATGAAAGCAGGTATACGTTTTCCTTTTCTTTCCTACTATAGGTCCTTCAATATTTTCTATAAAGCCAAAATGGACAGGATCCTGAATACACTTTCATCATTGCTGTCTGGTATTTAAGGTACGCTGCCTATAATCAAGGAGGTAGCAAGCTATCATCAAGACTACTAGTCATTGATACCTGATTCTCCATGAATTTATCCAGACCCCTTTAAAAATATCTATGTTAGTAATTACTATCTGTTGCTACAGTTTAAGAAATGTGAAAAAGGTTCATACTAAGAGAGTAGAAAAATTCCAGCACAAAAAGTGTTTCATTCTTGAACAAAGATTCTGATGTATCTAACTGGGAAAATACATTCATCCACAACATTAAATCTAACTGAAACAATTAAGATTTATATCATTGTACAAAACTTACCCTAAAATAATTATTCTAATTACATCACAGCATCACAGATAACATGGCTCTTCTCCTACATTGTCTGAAAGAATTACTAGTATTCTGAAAAATCATACTGCTCCTTAAGTGAAGCAGTTGTGCAATTACATCTAGTGCAAAATAAATGTGCCAGTAACCCCAATTACTCAAATATACTATTATTTTTATTAATAATTTTAAATACTAAATATGTTAAAGTCAATCGCAAAATAACATTATAATGTTTTCAAGATGGAATGGAAAGCTACTTTTAATGGTACTAGTCCAAACCACTTACTACAATTTATTTGGACTATATTTTAACGGACATAATTTCTACAAAAGCATCATTCTTTCTTTCTATTCCACCTCACCTCCTCCCAAATCCATGATATTGTCATGTGGAAATCATGGACTATTTTCAAACACTGTATTTGTGTTGATAAGCCAAATTTAAAATGCTTTCTTCTACATTGTTGGATGACTAAAACAAAAAACAAAAAAGATTCTTGCTATTATCTGACACAGCATTTGCATTGATAGCATAATAGTCAATTAAAATTTCCATAGCAGCACCTGGCTGCAGTTTAATTTGGATCAGGTTGAAATGCAAACAATTTACTTAAAGAATTCATTAAATTAAAAAAAAAAAATCCTGTTGAACAAAGAGAAATGAAAATTCTACAAGAGTTGCAACAATGAACTTTAACACTAAAAGAATTGCTTTAATTAAATATTATTTACCTGCAACCATACTCAACATTAAGAACTTGTCATAGAATTATGATCCTAGAAAGCAACACAATTCTTTAGTTCAAGCTTACGCATTTACCTTAAATTATTCATATTTTTTTAAAAATGAAGTGATCACATCATCTTTCCAAGGAAGAATCCCAAAAGTAACAGACAATGGAAGAACAATCTTACAGTAAACTTTTTAAAATAGTGACAATATTTTTTTTAATTTAATTTAATTTAATTTTATTTTATTTCTATAGCTGCCCATCTCAGACAAGTGTACAGCTACAATATATAGCTTTGGGTACTCTACATACTTGTCCCACAACATTCAAATTAAGAAAATTAGTAGCAACAGTTGTTGAACCATAATTTTCAAAGTTCTTAAATCAAAATGATCATATTGGCAGCATTTAAACAAAACTAAACCATGATTTAAAGATACATGAATAAATTTTCCCAGGCTTAGGAAAAACACAAAGAGGAGGAGCTAATATTTTCCATCTTGAATGTGCCTAACCATTTCCTGGGAATCATGATTTAAAATTAACTAATGGCTAGTTTTAACAAATGAGCTTTATAACACATGTTTGATCCTGTTTAAAAGTCAGATCACAATCTTTGGCTTCAATGCATGGGCTGCTGCAGTTAACTAAACTTGAGCGCAAAATTCTCTTTGAATCATACTGGAAGGGCATAGGGTCTGAGCCTTGGAAGAAGTAGGGTTTATTTGCACTGAGTTCAACTATGGTTTATGTTCATATATAGACAATGGCATAGACAAGCCAGCTTTGGTGAATTTTCTAAGCACATATATGCAAAATTAACAGCCCTACCTTTTGTGTAGCTTTTATCACCTGATCCTTGGCATCCATCTTCATCATCACAATCTCCACTGGATTCTGTCTCTTTGTTCATTCCATTCCCACTGCCACCTTCCCTGTCAATCCAACTTTCTGATTGTAAACTTGTCGTCTGGGCTGCCAGCTACAATGCAAAATAAAATATTGGTGAAAGTGATCAGACTTCAAGGGAAAAAAAAAACATCTACCACTGTAGTTTGGCTCTTCTTATCATTGGTCAGTTTTTCCACTAGAAGTCAGATTCGGGCAGTTTAATATCAACTCATTAAAAGAAGTAGTATGAACCACTAAATGGAAGATGAAGCATTACTGCTGAGCTTATAAGTGAAGCTCAAGGCATTTTACTAGATATACTTCTGCACAGCTTCCCTTCTAATATCAGTCTTTTGAGTTTTTTGGTTCTTTAACAGCTATTGGATTTTATTTTCAATACCACTGGTTCCAGAATGTATCAGTTGGCTATCAACTGCTGTACTTCCTAGTTTTGGTTATCTACAAGTTATGCATTCATGTTGGCTTTATATTACCTCCAGTATCTGAGGCAGTATACCTCTCAATAATACTTGCCAGGAAACACAAGTGGGAAACTGCTATTGTGTTTAGGCCTTGGTGGTGGGATTTCCCTGAGTAGGGTTACCAGGCATCTGGCAAAAGGAGGACATGTCCTCAGTTGTGTCCTTGTGTCCTCTGTCCAGCAGGCATGGCCTTAAAATCAAATATTGTCTGGCTTTTTAAGTATCCAACAATCTTATCTCTTCCTGAGCAGCTCTTCTCCATGGCATGGTGCTTCCCCAATAAGTGCCAACCACAAGTTAATAAGCTCTGCTCTGTGACCTTAATGAGTTGATCAGTACCCTCCTGCCAGCTTGCACTGCTGCCTAAAATTGACAACATCTTTATCAGTGACACACTGAAGGCTTTTGCCTCCTAACTGGCTCTAGCACATTTCTGCAATTTAGAAACCAGTCCTTCTGATGCTAGAAAAAGTAATTTCATATAATGTAGGCCTAAGTACATTTTTTTTGCAGTTTTTCAGTATAATTTTCATCAAGGATACCAAGAAAATTAAACAGTTAGTGTGTCCTCCCTTCCCCCCATTTGTCCTCCTTTCCAATTGTCTGTGTCCTCCTTTGCCTGTTCAGATATCCGGTTACCCTACTTTTAATCATCTAGTTGGTAATATGAAAACATTGCTTCTGTTCTATCCGTTGCCCATTTGTCACTTTTTTTTTTCCTCTACCATCTTCAAAAAAGATTCTTGCTATTAACTTCTGGGTAGAATTTTCTGTTTTTAACAAGTCAACAGATTTACCCCACCATCCATATAAGAATCTCTCTGAAGATTAGTACACTGGTGGCTTCTAAAAGAAGTGAATAATGAATTTCTGTTTGTACAACATTCAAACAATAGAGGAGGTAGCTGGCATGATTTGAGACAGGCTGAATCTGTTGAAATATATTTGCATTATGCATCATTCAATGAATCATTACCATCTTTTATGGAAGGTAACAAAAGCATTCATCATCAACAAATGACCCTTTCTCTTGGAGAAACATTGAATGATTATTCAGCTCTATTTTAAAAAAAGTTCACCCAGTGTCACACTTTTTACAGATTATTTCATTTATGAGTGTCAGAGGCATGATTTGTGCCAGTAAGACAATATCTGATAGTTTAATTTTATTTTTAAACAAACAGCTTGATGTTCTCATAGCTGTTATTCACTGATGTCTGATGCCTGATGTCATACAGACATGGTTGAAGAAAACTTCTTTTGAAAACATTCTCTACATGATGAATACATGCTTAGTTGTCTCTCAGATTGCTGATGTTTTTGACTGTAAGATCATGGAGTCAGAATGGATTGCAAAACCTCCTCCAACTGAAGCAGAAAATGTGCTTATATGAGTCCAGTGATCTAATCTTTAATAATCAATCCCTGTATTTTTTATATTTTTATGCTTTGAAGGGAGTGCTTGCCAATGAAATTAATATTTTTCATAAGTGCTGAATAGCTTTTTCTAAACATTCTAAAATGCCTTCTTAAGAGTTATTTTTGTGAATTATCTTTGAGAGCATTCTTCTTACCATGGAAAAAGGTAAATCCTATTTGACTGAGTTACATTTTCATGCCACTGCACGTATGATACCAGTCGAAATCTTTTTACTCGCAGTTAAAGCTTTGTGCAAAAACTGTGCAGTTTTTTACTACACTATGTACAACAGCCTTTCCCAATGTAGTGCCCTCCAGGTATGTTGGATATCAATTTCCAGATGTTCTTGCTGGCATAATGTTTTGGAGTTAAAATCCAACAAGAAAAAGTCCATGTGGACACTACTTCTGCAACTGTTTTGTTAAGGTTCTGATATTAATTCTAATCACTAGCTCATGCTGTGATGAAGCCTCACTAACCCTGCCAGAAATGCCTACTTGATTTGGAAAGTTCATCTGACCTTTGCTTTTACTGCATTTTAATTTTATGTACTAATCCCTGACTTGTTTTGGTTTCGATTAGCAAAGGCCCCTGCAGTGTTACAACATGTTTCTCTTTTTTCCATTGCAATTCTTTACTTGGTGTTATTAGTCATTGAAAAGCCAAGCAAGCTGTGCAGGAATTAGTCTACTACGCAAAAGCTCCATATGCTGATTACCTCTGGCTGTATCAACAGCTCTAGGTTTAGGTCAGATGCAATGTTAGGCAGTCATTGAGTTCCGTATGGTAACTCACAGAAAGAAGTGAATCTTCTTTTAGTATACACACTATCTGGACATAGTTTATGACCTTTCCTTCTAAGACAGGCCACACAATTACTAAACAAAAGTTTGTGATTTCAGTTTCTAAATGTTCTAGTCTCACCAGCTAGGAACAGAGAAAAAATATATCCTGATGCAGTATCCCTCAACAGGTTTTACAACAAGATAATAGACACTCTTTTCACAAAAGAAATCCTGAGTAAGAATTTGAACCCAAGTCTCCATAGACAGTCCAATGTTTTTTGTATCATATCATACTTGTTTAACAAGAATCATACTTGACTTAAAACTGTGAAACACACTTTAAGTATAAGGACCTGAATTCTATATAGCAGCTGCTTTGGTAACCCTTCAGAAAATTGTCTGAGAGGTAATCATGGTCAATTTTCAAGCTTGTTGAAATCTCCTGAATTATTATAATGAAATGTGTTTTGAATAATTCTAAGTTTACACAATCTACAATATTTTCTAATAAGCAATTAACTAATATCTACCTTAATGATACTTTTTAATTGCAATAATTCTTGGATAAAGAGATAATAATCAATATTAACAAATCAAGGCCAATTGTCTTACAAAATATTAAATATATCTCTTATGATCTTAAAATTCAACAAAGATTCAACAAAATATTCTTTTTTAATGTTTATTGGACATCAGAAAGAAGGTTTTAAAGAAGTTGGCTGTCACCCTAAAGATTATTTTTCTTGAAAGACAATGCGGCCCCAAATAGTAATAGTAAAACAGTAATAAAAAAAAAGAATGTTACTCATAATATATGCTGTAATTTCTATGCTTAAAAAATGTGGAAGCAATTTTGAACTGTGGTTTAGTGTTCTAAAATATTAGCCAATCCCCTTACTTGTCACTTGCAAATTTATTAAGAATTCCTTTCATTCCATCTGCTTAGTCATTTACAAAGTTATTGAATAGTACAAGGCTGAGGATGGAACCTATTTAATATTTTTTTCCAGGATGATGCAGAATCATACATCAATACCCTTTAGGTGTAGTTGTGCAAATCCACTGGACTGCAGCACTATTTAGTCCACATTCATCCTCTGTGCACAGATCTCATGAGAGACCTTGTCAATGCTTTACAAAGCTCATGGTACACTATATTCAGAGCAATTGCTTGGTCTACCAAACTAATCACTTCATTTTAAAAAGAAAGAAGGTTATAATGACACATTTGGTTTTGACAAAAATGGAATATGTTTTATTAATGGCTAACAATGATATGATTGATATGATATGATATGATATGATAGATATGATAATATCCTCTCTGACTTTTTGGGGAGGTGCATGAATATGGACTATCCCTGGGGCATGAGTGTGAGTTCCTTCACTCACTACTACTATGAGTGTGAGTTCCTTCTTTTATTAGAGGTACACGGACAGGAGTCCATGTACCTCTAATAAAAGAAAGATAAAAAATACTGATATAACCAATTTATTTCAGTAGTGACATGCTGAATATCTCTGAATATCACATATTTAAGAAATAAAATAGAACCTTTTCCAAACTTGGATAGGATTGCAAATTTCTGAATTCCCAACTAAAGGAATTCCCAATGGTTGGGAAATATGAAAGTTGCAGTCCCAACAAAACTAGAGGGCAGGTGGTCAGAAAAAACTGCAGTTGTGATTGGCTGTTCCTTACATGTCCTTTGTGTATTTCCTGGAGATAGCTGACTGAACAAAACATAAGTTTATTAATATACAAGTTTAGGCCTGATGGATTTTGGAATTAATCCAACACAATTCTTACTTACTTTGAAATATCGGGAGTTATGTTTTACAAAGCAAATCTGTATATGACAAATCTTTAAAACAATAAATGTCAAAGTCTGGCAAGCTGGTAAGCACTTTTTATGCTTTTCCCCAGTAGATCTGAAAATTACTGCTCATATTGAGTATAGCTGGGTTTTTTATTTCAATTTTTGGGAAGATTGTAGAGCAAATGATTTCAAGGATCCATTTGTAATGCAATGGCTGATGATCAGCTTTAACCTGTGATGAGGCTGTCTTGCATCTAAACATTCACACCTGCCAGCTTTTAGTCTTATAATAACAGGGCAGAGCCATTCTGTTTGATCAGAGCTAAGAAGTGTGAAATGAGAAGTACTGCAATCAAGGAGCTCATCTACTGCACCAGTTCTTGAATGGCACCATTTTGGGAAGACAAGTTCAGATGTAAGTCAGTAATCAGTAGCTCCCTCCAAATTGTCTGAAGGAACTGAATGAAATGTTTCTCATTGCTTTGTACTGAAACAGCAATTACCCATTTTGTTTGCTGGAGAAAATGCTCATGACATGCTTCAGTGCGTGTTAATTCTATTTCAAATTCTTGGATAATTATCTG